CTCTCCCAGTGAAGAATTTTTTCCCTTTAATCTGATCAGATGCCACAGATAAACTCAGCTGTTCATAAGACAACATGATAACCTGGCCAGACAAACAAATCTTACCTGGGCACCGGGGAGTTTTGTGGGCCACAGCAGTACCACTGATGGGACGACCATTGGGAGTGACACACCAGCAGTACCCAGTGTAACTGTGACACTGAACCTGTCAGAAACGACATGAGCCACGAGCAGTTCATCAGACATATGTCTGTTATCCCACAGCGTTCATGAGACACAAGTACAAAACACTAGTGCAGCAAACTGTATTGACAAAACCTAGAACAATAAATCATAACAACCTAATCTCAGTCACACATATGATTCTTTAGCATAAAGAAGAGTTTCATTTCAAGCAAAGTGAGGTAGGTCCGTCACAATCCAACGGAAGACAAAACTATTGAACTATGTGGCTGTTTACATCCTATTTGAGAAGAGAGAGGTGCAGGTGTTACGAAAACCTCACAGCAAAGTTTCTCAAGGGACACATAAACAGTTCTTGAAGCAAGTAATCTCGATTTTTTGTTCAGCACAGAGAACATACTGTTCCATCCACTGAAGGAGCAGGACAGAATGCCTCTGCCAGCATTATTCATGTCCCAAGCTGACAGAAAGGAAACTCTTAGAATTCCTCTTAGAAATCAACGGCATTATATTTTCTGAGGGCCAATACCACTTCCCTCACTATGTTTAAAATGAAGAATATTGTCTTCTGCACAATCTCCAACTGAAATGCAGTGCCGAGGCAGCAGAAGGTGATCTTGAATGGTATATATATCACACGGTAAGCAACTAACTGCATCCTTCCTGAATTCCATGATCTAACCTAAGTTAAAAAGTCTCAGACTGTATGCTTGTGCAGCAATTCAGCTGAGAACAGGGAAGAATCTTTTGTGATTCATAATTTAGCACTGATAAGGACTCTGGTCACAAGATTTCTGGTTCACATCAGGAACAGAGAGGAAATTCCAAGCATTTTACCATCTGATCCGTATTCAGGGGGCTACAAGAACGATTCAGCTGCCTCATCCTAGAAGAACAGGGAGTATATCACATGAATAATGATAATGTTTGGTTCCTTTGCTGGCCAACTCTGAAAAAAATGAACCTGGCAAAACCCATGAATTTTCCTTCCATTTTTATCATTAGTGTTAGCACAAATTACATTTCCCTTCATTATATTTGTCTATTCTTCATCCTCTGCAAACACACATTCTCTGACTTTCTGGTCATGCAAGACATTGAATGAAAAATTTTCAACCTGACTATATGTGCCATCATCATTGCATTCTGGGATAAACACTTGTTGAAATTCCTTGCGAGCTTGTTCCTGGGTGTACTTCCTCTCAGCCACACATCTGGAAACATCTAGAGAAAAGGAGGAGACAAGTCAGTTGGACGATGCGCTATGAAGAAAAATAGGTGATAATCTAAATTAAGAAAAAGGAAGACAGCTCTGAGACCCACGTAAAGAGATTCAAGACTATAATCAGTGAAGATGTAAAATCCCTTGCATTATTTTTTTGAAAGAAAACCAATGGAAGACATAACTTCTGGACAGTAATCCAGAAGTGGGAAATAAGATGGAGAGATGCCTGGAGAGACAATCTTGCTGCTTCAACTGCTGCCAAGGGGCAGAGGCCCAAACAGGGCTTCTCCTATCAATTCAATACAGCAATAACTGTCACATTGTGCCCCACAGTATTCTATCAGTACTGGCGGCAGCACCAGCTTTCTAGTGCTTCAGGAAATGCAAAGCAGGCAGCAGGTGTATAGCTGCTTTGTACTTCCTACTATGAGTTTAGACACCATTTATTGCAGTCAGGCAACCTTACCTGTGACTGTAGGTGTGCCTTCCAAGCTGGTAATAAAATTAAAATATATATATACACTGTACAGCATACGGGCTTATTGGGGAGGTGATTTAATAATATTTTGAACATGCTTCATTCATATTATGCTAAAATTTAGTGTAACAGTTCATGATTTAGACATGGCACAAGTCAAGCCTTTTTTATCCACTATGCAGTTTCTTGCACCATCTCCTGCATTACATGGCACTGGCCTCCATCCAAGACAAGGTAACAAACTAGAGAGCTGTAATTCAGTAGAGCTTCTATTGTCTAGTAAATTATATTGTCTAGTAATACTCAGGCAGACAAGTGCTACGTACAACATAAGCTGTTGTATCTTTTTTTGTTCAAAGCCACTACTTAGCCTGTTGCTGATGCAGTATCAATACTCCATGGTCTTCATGAGCTAAGCAATTTCAAGAGAAATGAGAATACCAGGCAAGCTTAAGGTAGTATTAATGATTTCAAGATGTGAATGTAACATCTGAGTTAGAATCGTCTCAAGCACATGAGCAGAGAAATTCGCTGCTTCAGATTCCTGTTTTCTTTAAAGACTGTTTGGCAGTACCTGGCTATTTACAGTTTTAGTGGTAAAACTGTCCAGCGTGACAGGGCTGTGTTGCTGATTTGTGAATGTCTGTGCAGTTCTTGGAAAGCACAGGGACAGGCTTTCCAGACCATGCAAATTGTGCATTGAATAAAATCTGACCAGTGAGGCAACAGCACTTTCATTTCCCCATTTGATACCAGCATATCTTGACAGAATCAGGGCATCTAACAGACCCCAGGAGCATACAGGTGAGGTAGCTAAGTCCTCAATCCCTGAAAGCATCCTCTTTGTGCCAGTACCATCCTGATACAGAACCAGCATGGAAGCTTCGTGTAGCTGCAGAAGTCCTTTGTACAGGATGAATCCTTCACTTCTTGTTTCCACTGAGTTTTGGACAACTGACCCGGCAACATTAGCATAAAAAATTCCCTTCAAGTCCCAAGCAACCTGGTGTGGAAGTGTAGCATAAAGAGGACTGAAACCACTCCTTAGCATCCGCATCCTGAAAACAAAATTGATGCCCCTAAGTTCTAATCTTCACATTGATTTCCCTTCTGGTCTTGGATTCACATGTACTACTCCTGTGCATTACCTTACTCTTCTCACAGGAGGATTATGAGAGTTCATGCTGGTGAAATGTCCAAAATACAAGTTGTTTCACTTTGAAAAACTATGTTTCAGTCTTAACAACTTTAATGGTATTATGGTGTTTCAGGAAGGATATTCACAGAAATGGAATGTTAACTAAAATGTACAGAAACTTTCAACCACCCAGAAATGTGAGAAAAATAATAAGGAACCGAATTAACTTGTACTGTGGTACTTTAATAACTTGTTTCATCAAGGGCAAATTATAGCCAATGTATTGTGCAGCTCAGGTAAAGTCTGTTAATGTATGCACTGCCAAAGTTTTTTTGGGGAAAAAGAAGAAACATTTTAAGCAAGCCTTTTGTGTCGTAAGCCTTCTCCTGAGCATGGTTTGGTTATACAGTACTTAATAACATGTGGTTTTAATGTAGCTAGTATTTTAACTGAAAATAAATCACTTCTTTGTTGGACCTCTGTCCTCGTTTTTCTAGAATGACATGTGGTTTAAATGTCTAAAAGGAAAAGTGATATAAATTCCATCACATAAGGTCTCTGGTATAGTACCAGCAGGGTTGTAAATTATCTCCAATATTTGAATTATCATGAAAAGATGGCAAGGAGAAAGAGAAATTCTCCAAAACTCTCTGCCATTTGTTCCTAAACAGCTTGATGCTCTAAAGGCCTCCTGTTTGTGGATGATCTAATATGATTTAAAATCAACAATGGCCAAATTTAGTGGAATATAAAATTCAATCATAAAGCCTTATTTTTAGTTATATAATCATAGAAACATTTTAAAGCTGTTGTGCTTTCAGTGTACCCAAAGTTAACTCAGGAGGAAGATCTCCTATCAAATTAAGCATGTGAAACTGTGCATAACCAAAATATTACTCCCAGTTCATTTTTTTTTTTTGCCAAGGTATGACCACAGGAGACACAGAGATGTGGTACCAACCTGCTAGAAGAAAAGTAGTAGGACGGCCAAGATAAAAAGAAGACATATGAAAACATTCTTCCTCAGAATACTAATTACCATTAGATTACTAATTCAGAGGAGCTAAGTTCCTTACAAATAAAACATCATTGAAGTCAAATGATGATTCAAGATTTTTTATAATAAATCTGTAAGACTATACCACCTGATCATCTGCCTCCATATCCTGGCTGCAATACTGTGCAATTTAAAAAACAAAAATTTTCAAGGGAAAGAAAGAATTCAAGAGATTTAAGTGCTAGGCATGTATATAAAATAACAGCTGAAAAAGGACAAGAAAACTAATTTTTGCCATGACTGAGAGAAAGGCCGAAACATAAGTTCACATCAAAGTATCCTGCATTTTCTTGCAGCTCCTAACAGGCAAAGGTCAGTGATGGGTGAGAACCTAATCCACTGGGAAATGAACCTTCCACATGGCCATCGCTCATGCTCACTCAGCAAAGCCAAATCTGGGACACACTGTGCAAAGTCCTGTGAGTGCACCCAGACAATTCTTGTCACGGGCCCCTTGTCCACCTTGCACAAGTGCAACTAATGAAGATGACTCACACAAATCTCCGGTTAGTAGGATGAGTCTAGGATTAGGTAGCTTGCCAGGAGGTTTATAAGAATACTGACATCTAAAGGGACACCGGTGAAGTCTGCAGCATACAGATTCAGCTTTCCTCTTTATGTAGAACAGGAATCATCCGGATCAGGATGGACCTTAATTATTTTGAAATTAAGACCGAGAATGAAATGTGGAGGGTCTTACTTGGTACCTCTGTGATGATTAACGAGCCCACAGCTCTAATTTTGATCATCATGAACCCTGACCAAAACAGGCTAAATTCTTTTGGGGTGAATATTGTCACACTGATGACAAACAACCTGAGAGCAGACAGGACTCGAAATCTGCAACACGTTGGAAGAATGGAAAGCAATGTTGTGCATCACTAGAACAAGTTAGCCTTGTTTCACTGTTGTTGGATTCCTAACTTTAAAAGAAGAAAAAAAAAGTGCTTCATTTTTTTGAAAAATCTGGTTTTGTTTAAACTTTTACAACTATCTAATAGAAAAATAAGGGACTTTTTCAAGCCTGGTTTCTGACTATAATTCCCACTATACTATACTATTTCTTTCCCCAGGTTATATATTAATAAGGGAACCAGCAGGCTCAAGCCAGAATCTGGTATAGGACCTGGTGAAAAGATAATTTGGTTCTAAGGCTTGTAAAAAGCTGGCTGAAATGAGGCCTTATTTGCCTACACTCAGACAATGTGGAAAAACTAATTCTGCAGACATGTATGCCTAGCTGTAATTTTAAATAATGTCATTGACTGAGTAAGACTTTATCCTCTCGGCTCCAGGTAAATAGGCTTTTACATCCCAGAATCTTGCAGGGAAAAGAACTCTCCTAGAATAGAAACTTAGAGTGAAGATGTTTAAATTAGCTCACTTGGACTCCATTAACTGTCAGACTTGGTTCATGCAGGACTCGATGCAATTTAGCACAGTATGTTGGACAGTTTGTTGATTGTACCACTGTGATTTAGCACAAGGATTGCAAAGGCACTTGTGGGCTTAAGACAAATACATCTTGAGGTGTGAAGACAAAATAACTGAAGACAAAAATGGGTGCATGGTAGTGGACAGAAATACACAAAACTGAGGAGATTACAGAATTGTAGCTGTTTAGGCAGGTCTTTCTGAATTGCCAGGGTGAAAATTCTAGCTTCCAGAAGAGACCAGCATCTGGAAGGCACAGATGAAACATAAAGACATCTTAATTTTGTGGTAAGCTTCTACATGCAGCATGGAAGACTTTCACCTGTGGAGTGAAGCAGTGTCAGTACACCACTGCAGGATCCAGAATCAGGCTCTTTCACACATTACACCTGGGAGCACAGGACTTCCCCAGGTAATACAGAAATTGCAGTACCCAAGGAAATTCTGGAAATAGAATTAGCCTCAAAAACAGCACAGGACTGACTTGGAACTAATCTCATTTTTATGCCTTATTTCCAGCAGTACAGCACCAAAAACACTGAGCTCTGGAAAAAAAAGAAAACATCCATCAACTTCAACTCTGCTGGCTAATCCTTAAATAATATATCACACAGAGAAAAGTTTATTACTGCAAAGTAGAAGTTTATCTTTAAAACAATGACACAAACTCATCAAGGGTGTAAACACCATCTCTGAAGTGACATTTAATACAATTGAATTTACAGCAACTTTGGGGCTCCACAGGGAGATCCAATCCAGATTCTCTCATGGAAAAAATAAACATCTTGCCAAAAGAACAGATAAATCTCCTGCAAAGATTTTGATTTAGTTCATCCGGTATTTCTTGGTTTGCTATATATTTCAGTAAGAATAAAAATACCTTGTCCAGTCC